AGTAAGTGCTATATAAATATTAGCTATTATTAATAAAGTTCAGCAAAGCTAACAACAATTGGGTATACGCAATGTTGAAATTTGTTTTTTAAAGGCATTTTGGGAAGGAACAGTATTAGGGAGCTTGATATAGTCAGCCCAGTGTCATTTTTAATTTGCAAGCATGCATCTGGAACACTAAACCATCTTTTGTAAATCTTTCCATCTGGACTCTGTACTGGACATCCTCTCCGGGGCAGACATTTTTGGCAGACATGGTTGTTTTCTTTGCTTGACGTTAATATCTACCAGCTTAGTATCTTAGTTCAATAATTTATTCAGGTTACTGATATCAAAGGTAACAACTAGTGTGGCACATGCGTGCCTATATTACCTCAGGATATGAAAAGGAATAGTTGAAGTAGGTCTTCTTTAGAGGAGTTACGGGAAAACGTAGATAATAGTTGCACAGAATAAGGTTGATGGGATGCATTCTGAATTACTGGAGGGAACACTACATCAATAGATTACTCATCCATATTTTTAGAAATATTTTGTACTTAAAGACTGTGACATTATATAGAGAACTAGTCTTAAAGTCAGGAACACTAGGTTCATATTCTCCCTTGGACATAATAGCTTTGTGATCATGGGCAAATAATACCCAAAGTAACACTCAAAAACTAAATTACAAAGGAGTTGCCAGTTTGTATTGGTGGAGGGAATTTCCATATTTGGAGTTCAACACATCTATGAAATTGCAGATCTAGAGCAAATAATATCAATAATAACTTTCTGAAAGTCCAACCCATCATCTCTGTATTAGTAAAATGCTTAGCACAGTGCTGGTCACGTTGATACTCGAGTATTTGTTCTCTTCTCTTTCCCTTCCATGAGAGCAGGGATGATGGGAAAGTAAAGCAATATCAGATGGAGTGATAAAGCCAGGGTCTCTGAGTACCTTGAGTCAGCTCTGGAACCTGTTAAGACTCAGGGGAAACCCTGAAATGCTGACTCTATTGTATTCTGGTGATACTGTTGATTGGGTTAGTCCTCCAGACAATGTGATAAAACTGTTCTTATGATTTAGCAAGACAACAAACATTTATTGAATGCCATTATGTACCAGGCACTGCAAAAGGTTGTGGTTACAAAGAAAGTTAAAAGACAGTCCCTGCTCTTAAGGAGCCCACAGTCTAATAAGGGAGACAGCATACAATTAACTATGTATAAACAAGCTATAAAAAGGATACACTGAAAATAATCTACAGGGGAAAGACATTCAAATTAAGAGATTAGTAAAAGCTTCTAGAAGAAGGTGGGATTTTAGCTGGGACTTGAAGGAAGCCAGGAGGTGGAAATGAGAAGGGAGAGCCTTCCAGGCATGGAAGACAGCCAGTGAAAATGCTGAGAGATGGTGTACCTTGTTTCAGGAACAGTAAGGAGGCCAGTGTACCTGGATTATGGAGTATGTGGGGAGAGTGTAAGGTATAAAAAGACTAGATAGAGAAGAGCCACGTTACAAAGGGCTGAAGGCAAAACAAGATTTTATATTCGAATGATTCTGGAGTTGATAAAGTAATAGATGGGATAGCATAGGACAGCGGGTTGGCCCTAAACAAAGCCATAGTTATGATCAACTTGGCATAGAGGATAGTAGAATAAGTGGCTGTCTTTAGTGTTATGGTACCATGGGAAGGTAAGATAAATTGCATAAAGCTGCTTCAAGTCCAGTGCTCTAGCAACTGGAGTCTTGACTTGGAGTCAGGAAGATAGATCAATCCACTCTTAGCTGTGTGATCTTGGGGTACTCGACCTTTCTTTCAGCCTCAGTTTCTTCATCTCTCAAACGAAGATAATAATAGCACCTAACTCCTGTAGTTGTTGTGAGGATCCAATGAGATATTTGTAAAGTGCTTAGTGTAGTATGTACAAGTAGGTGCTCAAATACTTGTCTCCTTCCTTGCTTCCCTTTCTTCTTAGATCCTAGTATCACTCCCAAATTAAAGATGTTAAACCAAAACTTATTTGTTGATGTGTATGATTGAAATCAAGTTGTTTCCATTGAAAAATATATTACATAGCTCCTTCATCTCATGGCATGTTTCTCCAATGATATGAGCATGTTATTTGTACTCAATAAGAGTGAAATTCTTAATAGATTTCCAGGAAAGATAGAGATTGAGGGTTTTGAGCCTAAATCCAGGGATCACATTGAACCAATGAATGAAGGCAGTAGCTACAAATATTTTGGTCTTCTCCAACTAAAAGCAGTCAGCATAATAACAAGCCAAGAGCCCTGGGAAGGAACATTGATGTCCCCCAGCCTGTTTCCAGCATGGTCCCAGCCCCACATCCTCAGCATTTTATTTTGTTTTTAACTTGTTTATACGTAGTTGTTTTTATGTTAGCTCTCTCTTTAGCAAATGATTGGTAATGAAGAAGACCTGGGGGAAAATGTGGTCACTACAAAAAACCTTGATACTTGCAAATTGTTCAATATCAGAAATGGATATGCTTTTATCACAGAAAATGACTTTAAAGGAGATATATTATCAGCTTTGCCGCTAAACTCTAAGGACCACCACACTGATTGAACTGCTTTCTCACCTGTACCTCTTGGTTTTCCTGGCTTCCTGCAAGTCTCAGCTTAAATCTAACCTTCTAAAAGATTTTCCTGGTTTTTTAAACTCCTGCCTTCCTCTTTCAGATGGCCTTTACATACCCTACATATATCTTTTATGTTCCTTGTATGTTGTCTCATCCATTAGAACATGCATTCCTAGGGAGCAAAGACTGGAATTTTTGTGTATTTTATTTTGCTTTTGTCTGTATGTCCAACACTTAGTACAGCACAGAGTGAGCAATTAATCAGTGCTTGTCGATTGACTCTGTGTTTCCCTAGTAGAATGTAAGCTCCTTGAGGGCAGGAGCTATCTGTTTGCTTGTATGTGTATACATCTTAAATTCAGCAAGTCCAAAGCTGAATTCATTATCTTTTCCCCCCCTCTCCAAATCCTCTTCTACTTCCAAACTTCCCTCTTACTGTTGAGGGCACCACTATTCTCCCAATCACCTAGGTTCTAAAAGCCCACATGTCATCTTTGACTCCTCACACTCTCTAAACCCCCATATCCAGTCTGCCAAGACCTTCACCTTTGCAACATCTCTTGAATGTGCCACTTGCTTTTTCTGTGATGCTGCCAGCATTCTGGTGCAGGAAAGCCCTCATCACCTCACTCCTGGAGTATTGTAGTAGCCTACTATTGGTCTACTTGCCACAAATCTCTTCTCACTCTAGTTCATGTTGCACTCAGCAGCCCAAATGAACTTCCTTCATTTTTTTAAATGCAATTGGGTTAAGTGACTTGCCCAGGGTCACACAGCTAGTAAGTGCCAAGTGTTTGGTCTGAGGCTGGATTTGAACTCAGGTCCTCCTGACTTCAGGGCTGGGGCTCTATCCTCTGCGTCACCTATCAGCCCCTCTAGTGAACTTCTGAAGCATTGATCTGACCGTGATTGCTCAATAAAGTCTAGTGGCTCCCTGTCCATCTCTATGATTAAGTATAAAATCCTTTCTTTGGCATTCAAAACCTTTCATAACCTGGCACTCCCCTACTTTTCAAGTCTTATTATATTCTGCCCTTTCTCTCCCTTCCAGTGTATTCTGCGATCCAGTGACACTGGCTTTCTTACTGTTCTTCAGAAAAGACTTTCCATTTCCTGACTCTGGGCATTTCACAGGCTATTCCTCATACATGGAATGCTTTTTCTTCTCTTTGCCTTCTGGCTTCCCTCAAGTTCCAGCTAAAATCTTACCTTCTATTAGAAACCTTTCCTGATTCCCCCCTGTAATGCTAGGGCTTATTTACAGTTTATTTTGTTTTTAACTTGTTTATACATAGTTGTTTTCCATAGTTGGCTCCCTTTAGACTGTGTGCTCCTTGAGGGCAGGGACTGTCTTTTGCTTTTCTTTGTATCCCCAGAGCTTAGTATAGTGCTTGGCATATAGTATGTGCTTAATAAATGGTTATTGACTGGCGCAAAGGAAACTCTAAATGTTATTTCATCATTATTCTAAGACTGTACTTACTTGAACCCTAGTGAGAAAAGATGAAAACAAGATGATAGTAGTAGTAATAAAAAAAAATTAAACTTTCTGATCAATTTTTCTAATTTCAAATAAATACCATATATTTTTGATAATTTTTGTATTGAAGGTAAGTAAACCATCATTACATTTTTAGTTTTGCCTGGTTAGTAATAGTTATGTCATGGCTTGAAACATATATTTTATCATTTAGACAGCATTTTACATAGATTATCTAATGCAGTTTTGTTCTGCTGAAAGAATTTCACTGTGGAGCATGATCAATTATATATTGGCAATTTTTATTAAACAATACTATGAAATTTTTATTGGGATTAAATCAGTATGTGACTTCAGAATCAATTTTTCTCATTCTGTTTAGTCTTCCTAAGTGGGAACCAAACTACATGATTCCAGTTTTTCACATTTCTTTTTATTTCTGTAAGATTTTATAATTTCTTTGGAAGAAAATTTTTTTTCTAGCATTATCTAGGTGTAACTGCTTTTGTAAAGGGAAGCTGTTTCAATTTTCTACCCGTCTCTTTTGTAATATGGTCGTGTCTTCAAGATATGTCAAAACATCAAATTATGATTAGTTATCTGGGATGGGAATAGCTATAAAATGAGGATGATACCTCTCCAGAGAATCTTAAAGAAAACAACAAATCTTGAATGTGGGCTAAAAGCTTGATTGTTTAAGCCATTTTATTAATGTCTTTCTTTGTTTTTCTGGTTCTTTGAAAAGAATTGATAGTGATGTGTTTTGGAAAAATAAAAGTGCAATTTCTCTTCAGTGTAGGATATCATACAGTTATTTCTTCCTTACTGCCTAAAGTTCTTTGAAAAATGTAGTTAAGTATGTTCATTTAATTCCCCAATCAAATTATAGTTTAAAATGCTTATTGATGCTTTTTAAAAACTTGTCTTTTAGATAAATGAACTGGTGGATGCTCGAGATGACACTGTTGGCTCTTGGTTTGAAGCTCATATAAAGAATGTGTCCCCTGCAACAAAACAACATAAAAGTGGCAAAGCTAAAGCAAAGAGTGGCAAAAGGACTAATGGAAATTTAAGTCATGATCATTCCAGAGGCAACACAAATAAGTTGGACAGTGCACCCTCGACATCTCAATCTCATTCTGTGAACAACGAAGATATTGTTTATCATATCCAGTATGATGAGTAAGTGGTCATGCTATTATGTTTTGGTTTGTAGAAGCCAAAAATCTGAAGGAAAAAAAAGGAATCTTAACGTGGAAGGATTAAAGTTAGGATTTAAAATTACGTTCAAAGAATCACATTTTTAAAAACTAACTTTTAGTTTTTTAAAAGGAAGAATTTGAGTTAATGAATATTAAGGATTGCCTGAAGATAACCTCAATATTGAATCATTCTTTACTTCCAGGTGGTTTTCTTATATGATCGATTCCCATCCTACCCTGCCTTGAAATCTGAGATAAAACTACATAAAACAGTATTTCTGTAGTTCCCTTAACCCTGTGGTAAAATTATGTATTGTTGAATGGCAAGTGGCATCATAGAAAAACAAGGAATTATGTTTTGTTAGAGCTCTAAAGAAAAACATCAAATGGCTTGAGATGGCACAAATCTTATAATAGCCATAAAATACAAGTAAAGTTGGAGTCATTGTTTTTAGTATTGTTATGAAGTAGGCACATTGTGTTCAGGGAGATAGAAAACATTCTTAACCAGAGGATGATTTCTAAATAGAATTAAATAATACTTCTATTTTGACAAATCCCTAAATTATACTTTTTTATATTTTAAAAATTATATTGTAATATAATTTATATTACACTAAATTATATTAAATATATTATTAAATTAGAATTTAAATATCATATTTTAAAATGCTGCCGAAAATCAATTGTTGCTGCAAATGTTGTACCTATCAATTAAGTAGGAAAAGAAACCTTAAATTTTTCTACTGTTAACACCTGAGGGATAAGAAATTTTTAAGCTAAATCACTTTTAACATTTTGTTCAAAATAACAATGTTTTGTCTGTAAAAGAGTAAAAAATACTAAAACTATTTATACATTGAGGTCTTCTCCCAGAAGACAACCTGTAACAGATCTGTGCCCATCAGTTCAGATTTCCAAGTTAATATAGTAGTATTTAGAGATAGATGTTTCCAGGCTATCCTTTTCCTAACTGTTCTTTAAGTTGTTCCTCTTCCCTTTGTTCTTTGCTGTTTGATTCTTGTGGGTATTATTATGAGCCCTGCTTGTTGATTTTTTTTGAACCATTATGAAGTTCACCACCTTAACAGGTCAGCGTAAGTGGCTGTGATCTTGTTTGGAATGGTCAGGAAGGGTGACGGTGGTAAAGAGTTGGGATTGTGCTGAAAGGACTGGCAATACAGAAAGAAATAGAATGAATAGTTTTGGGAACTGAACACTGGTTTGCCTAACCCTCATTCAATTTGTTCTAGGCACAAGTAAAATTAAAACTCACTTGTGAACAGTTTAGTTATATAGTGCTTTAAAAAAGGTTTACACAGTTTTTCTCTAGAAGTAACCCCTTGAACATAGCAATACAAATATCTTCATTTTGTAGATTAAAAAACTGAAGTTCAGAGAGATTGTTTGTCAAGGTTAGCATAGCCAGTAAATGTTATTATTGAACTAAAACTTGGGTTTCTGAACTCCCAAGTCAGGACCCTTTCAAGCAGAAGGTGGCTATTTTTTTTTTCTTTCAACCAGGAATTATGCTTAACTATGGAATACTGTATTTTTCATGATCATTGATAGGCACTTGAAAAAAATATTCTTAGAGAAGTGGTCTTGATTTGTTAGCATACTGTTTTGTTCATGGTGAACATTTGCTGATTACTTTTAGTTGATCTGTTGTTTCTCACAATTGTCTGTAGCTTTTGTTCCAAACTGTTTTTGAAATGCTTCTCATTTCTTCTAGATTATTGAAGCTTTCTGATTGCTGCAAGTGTGAAGTGTTGTGGAAAAATTTTTTTTTTCACATTGTCAGTTCAGCTTGCCTAAAGTCACCTATCATAGCTTTAAGATTATGTTTAAGGGGCAGCTAAGTGGTGCAGTGAACAGAGCTCTGGCTTGTAGTCAAGAGGACCCTAGTTCAAATCCAGCATCAGACACTTGACACTTAATTAGCTGTGTGACCCTGGGCAAGTCACTTAACACCCTTCCCCCATTGCCTCAATGGGAGGGGAGTTTATATCAAACATTATTCAAAAATATCTTGCCATTGGTTGGCATAATGAATAGATTATAGTTTTTGCATGAAGTTGATAAAAATATCACTTTTATTCTTCATAATTATCAAAGCTTTCACTCTGAAAATATAATGGAGAGATCAGCCAGTACTGTTAAACTCATTTCAAAGAGTTGAGAAGGGGGGAAAAAAATCATCTGGAAGAAATAGACCACAAAATTGCCAAGTAAAGAAACAACAATTTGGAATTATTTATTGTAGGAAAAAATAACCCTAAGCAACCTGATGATTCCCCAGAACAATCACTCATTTTTATTAGAATATAAACTCCCAAAGAATAGGGGCTGTCTGACTTTTATATTAGTTTCCCCAGCTCTTAGCCCATGTCTGATTTATAACAATCAGTGCTTTTTCATTGATTTAACAAATATTTACAAAATATTGATATCTGCAATAATGTCATGCAGAGCTGAGTGTGAAACCTTGGGGAAATAGAAAACATAAATAAGAAAGCCTCTGTGCTCTGGGTTTGCAGTGTCAGTGTGATGATGACACAAAGACAACTTTCATACACAGTATCACTTCAGTACTTTAGAGTCGGAAAACAAAGTTCAATTGGACCTCTGAAGGGGCAGTCATTATTGTATAATGTTACGTAACTCTGCACTGTTTTACTTTATTGTCATTATTGAACTATAGCATAGTAATCAGTGATCATAATGATGACCCAGAGCAAATCAGAGTTAAAAGAAAAATTCAATTTGGTTCAAGTATGAGAGCAGTGAATCAAAATAAGATTGTAAAAATAGGTTGGTACTATTTTCTTAGGGCCTTGAATGCCAGGTTAAACAGTCTAGCCTTTTAATCTGGGGGCAATAAGGGGGTACTAGAGGTTTTTAGCCTGGGGAGTGGTATAATAATTAACCTTCCAGCACTGTACAGGAAGACTTGGAGGCAAATTATAAGTTAGGAAGCTATTACAGAAGGCTTCTCTCAAGGTCCATTCTAATTCTACATCTGTGATCCTATAACTACAGATTTTTTAGCCAGGGTAATTAGAAGAATATTAGTGGTAGTGCTAGAAATAGAACAGTTAGGAGAAGTAGAGTTTGAAGATGGGGTGCTCTCAGGGATGTATTAATCCACTCTCAAGCTAAAACAGTAATGCTCAGCACCATTTCTTTGCCCAGTTTGTCTGGGGGGAAAAAAGGATATTGAGTGTTCTCCAGCTATTTAGAGGGGACATTGGAGAAACAATGTCCCATACTAATCTGGTACCTCTAGTTAGGTCTTTTCCCCCAATATTTTTTATTTATTCATTAAATATTTTCTAATTACATGTAAAAAATGTTTAACAGTCATTTAAAAAAATTTGTAGCCACAAATTCTCTCCTCCCCCTCCTCCTTCCTTGAGAAGGTAAGCAATTTTATATAGGTTATATGTGTGCAGTCATGTAAGACATTTCCATATTAGCCATGTTGCAAAAGAAAACACAGACAAAAAAAGAACAAGAAAATAAACTCTTAAAAGTAAACTTCAATCTGCATTCAGGCTCCACCAGTTTCTCTAGAGATGGACAGTACCTTTCATCATGAGTCCTTCAGAATTGTCTTGGATTATTGTTTTGCTGAGAATAGCTAAGTTATTCACGGTAGATCATCATACAGTATTGCTGTTATTGTGTGTAGTGTTCTGCTTCTGCTTAGTTCACTTTGCATCAATTCATGTAAGTCTTCCAGGTTTTTCTGAAACCATTTTGCTCATTTCTTATAGCACAATAGTATTCCATAACAATCATATGCCATAATTTGTTGAGCCATTCCCCAGCTGATGGGCATCTACTCAATTTCATTCTTTGTCATCACCAAAAGAACTGTTATAACTTTTTTTTAAACAAATAGGTCTTTTTCTCTTTTCTTGTATCTCTTTGAGTTATAGACCTGGTAGTGGTATTACTGAAACAAAGGGTACACACAGTTTACAGTCCTTTGAACATAGTTCCAAATCTAGTGAAGTCTTAAACCTAAAGTTTTCTTGAAATCACAAATCTCAAGATATAAAAGCTAAACCATTAACTCCAGTGCCTTTTAAAAGAAACTTGATGAAGTAGCTATGTTAAAGTCCAAAATGACAACTTCCAAATGTCATACAGGTCAGACCTTTTTTAAAAAATAGGGGGCAACAAGGAAGAAGCAGTTTCCATAGTCCATGAGGAATGATATTTCAAAACTAAATTTTTATTAGAATTATTGGCTTTAGTCATAAGGAAAAATGCTCTAAATCACTATTGATAAGAGAAATGGAAATTAAAACAACTGTGAGCTACCACCCTACAACTATCAGATTGACTAATATGACAGAAAAGGAAAATGACGAATATAATGCACTGTTGGTGAAGTTGTATACTGATTCAGCCATTCTGTAGAGCAATTTGAAACTATGCCCAAAAGGTTATAAAATCGGGCATACCCTTTGACCAAGCAATATCACTACTAGGTCTATCCCAAAGAGATAAAAAACAAAAAAGGAAAGGAACTGTGTATACAAATATTTACAGCAGCTCTTTTAGTGGTGGCAAAGAATTGGAAATTGAAGGGATGTCCATTAATTGGGGAATGGTTGAACAAGTTGTTGTATATGATTGTGATGAATACTGTTGTGCTATAAGAAATGACAAGCAGGATGCTCTCAAAAAAACCTGGAAAGGCTTATATGAACTGATGCAGAGCAAAATGAGTAGAACTGGGACAATGTTGTACATGGTAACAGCAATAGCATATGATCTACTGTGAATAACTTGGCTATTCTCAGCAATACAATGATCCAAGACAGTTCTGAAGGGTTTATGATGGAAGGTGCTATCTGGCTCCAGAGAAAGAACCTGAATACAGATTGAAGATACGTTTCTTCCCTTTACTTTGTTTTTCTTGTTTCTTTTTTCCCCTGTGTTTTCTTTAATAGCATGACTTACATG